GTGTGTGTGTGTGTGTGTGTGTGTGTGTGTGTGTGTGTGTGTGTGTGTAGAATGAATTTCTCAAACCACCAACATCTTAGTGGCGTGAAATCTGACGCTGCTTTGAATCAGCTCAGCAGAAAGATCCCACTCCACTGGAAAAAAATGCAAACACACAGAGGAGACAAAAGAATGAACGAGTGTGAAATGAAACACCAGCAGCTCCTTGACCACACCGTTAATATTTAATGACTCAATCTCCGAAAAACATTGCAGCAATAATCCAACGGGTTCGAACCCTCCAGCTAAAAAAAACAGTCAACCAGCGTCTGCCCTCGTGCGGGTCTAACACAGGAGACGCTTCCTGCTTCACCTCTGTGTTGTGTCTCCTGCGACCTTTGACCCACAACAATCACCATCTCCTCGCTCGGTCAACAAATGGATAAAGCAATATTTGGAAGACTTGCAGAATAAATTCTATAAATGTTGAGAAGGAAATACAGATGTTATCACATTTTTTTTTGGGGGGGGGGGGGTGGATTGTTTGACAGCCCTTCAGAAAACATAATAAAACATCAGTAAAGTAAAACCAGGGACGGTGTGATTCATTAAATATATTAATCATATACTGAAGTTATTTAATCCGACTGCACGGACGGAGTCTGTGTTGATTCACTGAAAATGAAATAGTTCATCATCACTGACAGCTTGTATCTGAACAGTTTTACTAAATGGAAGAAAAACATCTGGAATGATTCATTATATTCGGTCTGTGAAGAGCTGGATGAAAAACCAAGGGACGTTAAAACATTCTCGTTTCCGCCCTCGTCGTCCACGCGGCCTCCGATGGAGGCGGTCTTTGCGGGCCGGGTAGACCGCGCCCCTCTGAAGAATGCAGCGCTTGAACTGAGACACTGCTTCTGATCCGCCTGAAGAGAGGATTGGTTCTAACATCATCATAGTCCGTCCACAAGAACATCGTGTTTAAGGTATAATACGAAGGATCAGCTCGAAAAGTCTTTGTTCACCAAATTTGTATTTTCTGTCTGAAATTGTTGCACGTTCTCAAAATAAATCGAAAGTTTCACCCGTCCTTAAAGTTTTGGGAACAGGTTTCACAGAATTTCGTTCTCTTCTTTTAAAAGCTCGGTCTTGAGACGTGAAAGCTGTCGGGATAATTTCGCAGCTCCCTGATCAGAATTTGAAATTCTCCTTGTTCCTGACGGCCTCTCAGGGTCGGGATGGACCCAGCGTTTATGTTTTATTTAGAACATGTAGAGAAATAAAAGACATCGGACTCAGTGTTCAAGGTTTCTGTGCTTGAGGCTTTTTATTGGCTGGCGGATTAAAAGACAAAAAGTACGGGCTTGGTGTACAAAGATCTTAAAGCTGGATCGAGGACTGTAAGTAAAGATGGACGACACGACAGATCCCTCAAAGTGAAGCCAGAGCCTCACGATGGCCCCCTGCTGGCTGGCTGGCGGTATAGCTCATGCACCTCCTCCATGTCCAAAAAGATATACGAGACGCTTTGGGGAGCCGTCATGTCGTCCATCTTTATTTACAGTCCATGATTCAAACTCATCACAACCGAGGATGAAATAAAAGTTGCTCTGAAGCCGTTTTTCAAAACTGCCGTGTTTGTTTTTCAGATTTAAAAACACAGATTCTGGGTGGAGTTTTTGAAAACTACCAATAATACAGGTCAGCCTCATATTAACACTAAAACAGGAGCGTGACGCTGGAGAAGAGCAACTGTGACGACTGTGCCTCCGGTACTCTCGTCAGATATCGAGGAAGGTGACGTCAGCGCCCGTCCCTCAAGAGACGTCTCAGCTACAGAACAGATGATTACTACAGAGCCGAGGAGCGAAAGCTAAATAAATAAAACTAACAAAGCAACTGAGACCCAGTTCTTAAGTCCTCGCAGCGTTGTCCGTCAGCGGTTGTGTTTTCTGAATTGTCAAATGTTCCTGGCAACTTGTAGATTTAAACTTTCTAACAACTGTGCATCGTCAGAAGTTGCGTGTAATCAGCGGAGAATCTCTTCACGTCCTCGTCTCGTCCGTTTCCTGGTTATACTGAATAGAACTTTACGCGGTCTTCATGATTGGCTAATAGGTGCTTTCTGCAACGACACATAAATTCACTGGAGATAAAGATTTGCTGTTTTGGTTTGTAACTGTCAACTGAAATGTTGCTCAGGCGTCCATCGCAGGAATCGGGAGAAAAATGTTGGACGACTTTTCCTTTTTTCAGACGAACCTCCGCACGTCTCAGTTCGGCTTCATCTCTTCTGCTTGGATCAGTGTTGATCCTGCAAAGCCGCAGAGTTGAAACGCGTTAATGCCGACAGGTTTGAATAAAGTCATGATATTAAAGGTGGTAAAGTAAAGACAACAAAAGAATACGAACATCTCGAGCGCTGCCGGACTCGTGGTGATGAATCCCGTTGGCTGAATTGGCGCCATGTGCCTGAAAGAAACAAAATATTTTATCGATAGAGGATTTAAAGGACTATTTTGATCCACTTTATTCACAGAGAGTTGGATGAGAGGATGTTTAAAGTGGCAGTTCTTTTTACCGGGCTCTTGTCCGGATGCCTGCGCATGGCCTGCACCAGCTGGTCGACCTGCTGGTTGTGTTCCAAGGCGTTCCTCAGGGCGTCCTCTGTGCTGAGCAGCCGCTGGCGCAGACGGTTCACCTCCGAGTCCAGAGCCGAGGGGTCCAGCATGGAGTAGCGCCGGTGGTCGGGCGAGGCTCGTTCCCGACTCTGAAACACGGAAAGAAATGTCGTCACTTAAAATCTGCCGTTGAATAATTAATTCACTCTAAGATATATATGTGATTAACATCTGGGATAAATATTTGACAGTATTCATATATTCACTGAACTTAGAGACGACTGTATGAACACGGACCTGAACAGGATTGATTAAATATATTATGGGGACATGTGAATGTTTTCTGTAGCTCTTAATCTATAATCTGTGAAAATAACTCTGGTGAGGTCACAGGTTTATCTCAGCCATAGAGTTTTTCATTTGTAGTGAAAAGAATTGCATTTTAATTTATCGCAGTGGAGTTTGAATGATGAGGCTGTTTGCCTCGAGGAAGGTTCTAAAAAAAAAAAAAAAGGAAAAATGTAGGATCCTGCTTTTTTGCAGCTTAACCCTTTAAAGGGCACATTCACGTCCTGCATCAACTCCAGTCACACATATTCCAGATTTACAGAACGAGCAGAATAACTGGAGCATCTTAGAAAAGATGCTATGCCTGAATCTTTAGTGTAAACCTTCATGACGTGAAATAAAATAAAATAATTGGTCTATTAATTTCCTATTGAACTCTGTGGCGACAGAGAAACCGATAAGCTGGTTAGCAGAGATATTCTGAATTTCTTGACGAGCACATAACAGATTTCTCAGGGTCAGTTTCAACCTTTCTGAGGAATAAGTGACAATAAAACAGCTTGAAAGTGGATGAACGGAATAAACGCCTCTATAACGTGCAGCGATGATCTGTCGGGGCTGATGAACGTCACACAAAGAGTGAGATCAGCTGACAGCTGTTTTAATCTGTCCTCTTTACCAGCAGGAGGAGTTTTTCTCGCAGCGTCCCGATGTCGTCCTGGAGTTTCTGCTCCTTCACCTTCCACTCGGCCTTGTGCACCTCTCGGTTCAGGTCTTTCTCCATGTCCCTCGAGTGGCGGTGCGACTCCAGGAGCAGCACCCTCAGCTCGTTCAGGCTCCTGGTGCGAACATGAGAGAGGAGACGAAACCTTGAATGTTCGCAAGGAAACAAATCACCCGTGGGTGTTTCTCTCTGGCTGCAGAGAAGCAGTGAAATTCTGCTTTCAAAGATTTTAGCTGAGACCTTGCACAAAGGTCGTTATTATTCAAAAGCTCAGCAGCCCATTATAAGAATAACACGTCGGCCCGTCTGGCCAGAGGGGGGGTGTGGCGGCGGCCTCGCTCTCTGCACATGGGGTGGGCGGACGCCTCCTTCCTAAAGCTGTGCAGTTTGACATGAACTACACAGACACAGGGCGTTGTTTTGTTTTGTTCCGCAGCGTGTCGCACGGGGGTGTTAATACATTTAGGAGCCGTATATTCATTTTTCTTCACGCTGAACATATATTCAAGCGGCTCTGATGGATGGTTTCTACATGAATAATGCATGAAAACGAAGGAAGTGTAAATAACTTCGACACATCAATCATGTTGATGAGGTGATCATATGTCATGTTTATAGCATGCAGCTCTGCTGCCCCCACGTGGTCAAACAGATCAATCAATAAAATAGATTAATTAAAGAACAACACCGCCTCAAACATGAAATGATCAAATTCGATCCCTACGACCTGTGAGCTCCAAACGAGCTGTTTGCTTCCTGGTTTTCGTCTTTCCTGAATGATCGAAGTGAATTTAGGAGATAAAAACGTGTAACAAGGTTCGAAGTCGGCTTTGCTGCGGCGATGCACTCGTTCATGTCACGGACTGAAAAAGCAGCAGTGACATTACGAAAAGCAAATGATCATTTCATCCAATAACAATAACTCAAAGTGAGGCTGCCGCTGAATCTCTCAATGGACGGTGTATTCTTTTATTGCATGCGTCGTAATGGCTGCAGTTATGATGCACAGAGACGTTCTGCTGCAGCCAGCGGCACTTATTTTTAGTGCCTTGCAGCTTTTACTAACATCATCACCATCAATAATGTAGGAGCTGTGTAATGTAGGTTGGCCAATAATGTAATACAATTAGGCCAATCTGAGTTAATACAGCACTATGGACAAATGCATTGTGTGAACACGAGCGTGTTCGGACTTGAACAAAGAAGCTGCAGCTCTACAATCACACTGTGACCTTCTTCTCTCTACAGCTCCTCTCTGAGTCGCTCAGCCGATTTATTTGTCTCCTTTTCCGACCCAGTGAAAATCTGTATCACGCTAATTCACCAGAACCAAACGACGACCACAGATTCTCAGCAACAAGCCGGTGAGCAGAAGGTTTTAAACAAGAGTGAACAGTGGATGATCGTCCAAAACATGATTCTCAATGAATTTCAAAAAAGCTAAATAGCTGAGAAAAAAGGCAAAAACTGGTTTAAACATTTTAAATTGTCGATAACATGTGGACATTTTTTGTTATCATAGAAAATGGAATGATAGATATTATTTACTGAGTCCATGTCACGTTTTAGAACATGTCTCACAAGGTTGAATTATTTTCACTGAGAAATATAAACGAAGCTCGTGCTCCTGATCCCCGAGTTTAACAAGATGAAACATTAGGAAATTAAACAGCATGATTCAGACAATAATGTTCAGGTTGACAATATGTGCAGTAAAATCATAAGAGCGCCCGCGGGTTCCCAGAATGTGACAATTATCTAATTGATAAAATGATGTATTGTTGTTCTGCACGTGCACAGACGTGCACGATCCAAAAGACCGTAGATATGACCTTGTCTCCGTACCTCTCTTTCTTCAGCAGATCCTGGCTGATGCTGACCAGCTGCCCAGAGGCATCATGGGACTTCTTAGTCATGGACTCCAGCTCTGCCTCCACGCGGACCTTCTCCCTCGCCAGGGCTTCGAGTTTCTTCTCCCCCGTCCGAACTTTTCCCTCCAGCGCTGGAGACGAGAGGAAAATAAGACAACGGTGGATTTTATACATTTTTCAGGGTTTATGTTCATATATGAATTTTTATTATGTCTTAAAATCACATTTCTGTGTTTGGGGCTATTTCTCCTCTGCTCTACTTTTCTGCAGTTTTTTTTTTTTTCTTCCCGAGGTTCTGGATCGTTGCAGATGAAGTCGGCTGTTTGTAAAACTCAATTATCAGAAAACTCAAACTTCACTTTATGAAAAAAGAACCCTCAACAAATAAAGTTAACGAACATCTATTCTTCACTTTGTCTCGTATCGCACGTTTTACTTTTTTTTCAGCCTCCGCTCTTCAGAGCTCGTCGGTTTGACGACCTGAACTGCGCTGAGTTGGTTTTGAGTTCTTTTGATGTGGTGGATCTTTTAGTTTTCCAACGACAGCCGGCTGACAGATTTCTCCGTGACACCAAAAGAACGCATGAAGACGAACGTCTGTGCGGTGAACTCCGCGTGACACGACGGAAAGTAAAGTGAAGCCTGCAGTCGCAACACGTGCAGGCGCGAGTACAAAGAGAGAAACACTAACGCGCACTAAAGAACGTGTGTACATTTAAAATTCAAACTGCCTGATGGGTAGAAAACGCCTGAGCCGACTCTCACCATCATCTCAACACTGTAAGAAAAAAATAAAACAAACACTGCGAGAAAAAAGACACAATCCCTCTAAAGAGATTCACTTCTTGATTTGCTTTCATGGAGAAAACCTGCAAAGGAACATCCGACGTCACAGTTTGGAAAAGGTCGCCGGCCGCCACACGCTCTGGAAAATGACATTTACCTCCCGTCTGTGATTTGAGGGCTTCGACCTGGGAAGTGAGAGTAGTGACCTCTTTTTCCCTTTTCAACAACTTCTCCATTGTTTCTGAGGAAAAAAGAGAAAACAAGATTCAAGAGGAGACAATTAATGTGTGAGTACAACAAAACTTCATGCTCAAGACGTTTGCACACAGACTCAAATGTCTTAAATGTCAAAGTCTGTCCTCAAAAAAACGTCTTTGGACTTCGATACCTTCGATATTCTGTTTCAGCTTCATCTTCTCATCTGAAATTTCATTATCTTCTATCACCTGAAAGAGGAGATGCGGAGAGTTGAGCTGGAATTCAAACAAAGACTTTATTCCAAACTATGCAGGTGAGATCTCTGTCTTCAGCCACTCACGTTTGCATCGTGGGAAGTGTAGCGGTCCGCCTGGATGGCCTGGAGCTGGTTCGCTGTCACCCTCAGATTCTCCTCCAGTTTCTGGATCTCCTCCTGGCTCTCGGCCTGAGCTTTCTGCAGAGCCTGGTAATCCGTCATCTTCTTCTCCGACAGCTCCAGCCTCCCCCTCAGCTCCTCCGTGTTCCTGTCCTGCTCCGTCCGAAGCGTCTCCATCTCCACCAGCCTCTGCTCCGCTTTCTGGAGCTTATCGACCGCCTCCTCCAGCGCCTGCCTCCCGCTTTTAGCCTCCACCTCGGCCCTCCACGTGTGGCCGCTCTCATCCAGCCGGTCCTTGGCCTCCTGCAGACGAGTGCTGAGGTCCTCGTGTTCCTTGGTCAGGATCGCAGCCTGGATCTTATGCTTGGCTTTGAGGTTTTCCATCTCCAGCTGGTGCTCCATCTTCAGGCTCTCCAGGGCGGCTCTCAGCTCCTGGGCGTCCTGCTCTTGACCTTCAGGAGCAGCATGGTTGCTGCTCAGCGAGGCCTTCAGCTCCTCCAGAGACCGATGGTGGTCGCTCACTAAACTGTCAAATCTAGTCTGCGGAGAGAAACGAGGAGGGTTATGTCGTCTTTATGATTAATTAATTGATAATTCTATTCTAATTCCAATAAATTAAACCATCTATTTACAATCTATTAATATTTGCTTAGTTTCCCTTGATCAAAGTTTTAAAAAAAGTCTGGACACAAAGTTTTGTGGGACACTTTGAATCCTATTTCAATATTTCTATGTGTAATCCTACTTACAGTCTATTTATCCTGTTTACATAACTGTATTTTTACTTGTGTATAATGTTTTTACTGATAATTCTATTATGCTTAAAAGTTATAAATGTGAAAACTTCCCTGATGTGGAACTAATTACAGGGTTATCTTGTGTTATTGTGTCTCATCCGATCGTATATTATCTCATGTGATCGTATCTTATCGGTCAAATTTAAAAGAAAAGAATTCAATCTTCTTAACGAGGAGTTCGTTTTCTGACCTTGTTTGTTTGTAAAGCAAGAAAAAAAGGGTTTGAGTGTTTTTACATGGAGCGGATCCATTTATGTTTAGATTCGTGAATCTGGATGAAAACAGAATCAGACATGAGGACTGATTTAAATAAAAATCTGGACCAGGTGAATTTAAATGTGGCTTCACAAAGGGCCCGTTCAGCCTCGGCAGACGTCTGAGCGTTATCTGAGTGACTTTATCTCGGTATTTAAAACATCAGCGGGTCAGAAAACAGACGCCTGTGACTCAGTGACAGAAAAAATCCTCCTGCCGTCGTTTGTATTTGAGATAAACGCAGCAGAATACCTTCCAGGTGTCCATCATGTCCATGTTCTCCTTGGTGGCCTGTTGGACTTTCTGCTTCAGCTCACTAATCTCTTGGTTCTGTTTGTCCACCACCGTCTTCAGGGAGTGCACCTCCTGCTGGCTGGCTCCTAACGCCGTCTCGAACTTCTCCTTCAGCTCGCTGCTCTCCTTGTAGTGCTCGCGGCCGGCCGACAGCAGCTGCTCCCGCAGGAGGACGGCCTCCGGCTGGGCGTCGGAGCCGCCGGTCGCGTCGCCGTCGCCGGGTTGCTGCGAGCCGGAGTCGCACCCTCCTCCGAGTTGAGCCTGGAGGTTCTTGATCTCCGCTCTCCTGAGGGTGAGCTCCTCCTCGAGCTGCATGATGCGACTCTGCTCCTCCACGGTGGTTTGCTGATGACAAAGAAAGCAACATCCATCACTGCACAGCTGGAGGCCCTGCAACACAACGACGTCATTCCAAAGAAAAGGAGACAGCAGAAATCAGGTTTCAAGAAAAAAAAGGAAATCAAAGAGGTAAAAATCTGAGGTCGTCACAAGGACTGAAGACAATCCAGTGGAAAACACAACACGAATATAAGAATGTGGACAGAGACACGTTGTCTCCGGCTTCGTCCTCAGATACAAGACGACACAAAGACTTGAGAACAACAAATTAATGTTTTTGCAGCTGAGACAAATCATTCTGTTAGATTTTCATTTAAATAGTGTCGCTATGACTAATATTGCTGTATTTCTATAGCAACAAAAGATCATGTGACAATTCAAATCCAGGTATCAGACGTATTTTATGACCACAAGTCGACAGTCTGCACGAAATGTGTTGAGTCATTGTATCGTTTTCATCCAAACCGATGAGACCGAGGAGCCAGAGGATCAACGTGTCTCCGTCCAAATATTTGAGCAGCTCAGTGTTTGTGCAAAGATGTGGAAGATGAGACGAGAGCACAGCCATTCTCTGATCATCTAGAAGCAGCCAAGCAAATATAATAAAGCTCACAGCAAACCTCCGCGTGGTGACACTGCACACACACACTCACACACACACACACACACACACACACTGCAAACATCCTCCACACACTCAATCCAATCAAAATAAAAAAAGAGATTAAGGAGGAGGACCTGCTGCACAGCGCACAGATGTTAATTCCAACCATCTGGGAAAACAATCCAGCAGACCTCCGAGTTACCGCCTGATTCATATCAGAGACGTGGAACTGAGCAGCATTCAGATCACAGCACAACACACAGGAGTGAAAGAGTCGCAGAGGATCTATGCGAGGTTAATGTCCTTGACAGCAGAAGTCGATTTGAAGTCGAGAATTGAGATAGCTCGGCGGCGGATCAAAACCAGAACAAGATCAAATCTGTTTTTCACCTTGGTTCTCTTACCCAACCTCAAGGATGCTGCACCGCGAGAGCATCGTCCCTGTTGGCAGAAGCAGACCTTACTGCATGCGGGGGAATCAGGGCTTAGTTATCTTTTCATGGCCGCACATTGAAAGAAGCGGGGGCTTGTACAGGCTTTGATTCGTGAAACCATTGTCTGTGACTCAGGAGGCATTTCACTGTGAAGTGCAGGATTGCGTGTCCGAGTGGTGCAGAGGACGTCCTTCGCCCCCCCCGCCCCCCTGCACGCTCATCCACTGATTGTAAACGTGCATTATCGCGATCGTTTGCCTGGAAACATTCATCTCAAACCCGGTGACGAATCCCATCGACAATTTAGATAAGTGCCGAGAAACGATCAGGGAGCCGAGGGACGTTGATCCGCTGTAAAGTGAGAGGGTGTTATTTCAAAATGTTATGTGTCCTGGCATCTGAACTGTGCAGCTGGCAACGGATCCAAAATGGCAAAAAGAAAATGAAAAAAAAAAACAGCGACTGCAACAGAAGACGTGAGAAGCGGAAGCAGCCGAGAGCCACGGCCGACGTTGACGAGCAGCGCGGGTTCGGGGTTCATGACGGGAGGGCGACAGAACGAGGGAGGGGGAGGAGCGGAATGTTTTCTAACCTCGGGGAAGATCGTAAATAATCATCTATCAGTGTCGTGTTGAGGATCTGCAGCCATTCATTACATCAATATATAAAATAATATATGTTTAATATATTTAATAGGATGAGGCTGGTGATGGAGAAAAGTTTCTTATTTCAACAAATCCATTGAAAAGACAACAAACTGATCGGATCACAGAAGAGTCTGTGCAGCCTGAAGCCACAAAGCATCATCGTTTCTTCTGAGGTTCATTTCTATTTAGTTTACTTATTTGTATTAAAGGTATTTCGGGGGCATTGAGTCGTCCTTCGACAGGTCAGAGGTCCGCAGGTGAAAATAGTCCTGAAACAAATTCACCGTTTCTCTCTGATTTGCTAGAAAAAGCCGAGCCCTGCTGTCTTGAATTATTCAGACTTTATTTCTTAAAGGAACTGAGCAGCAGAGTTTACTGTGATGGCTGAGGAGACATTTTTAAAGATTCATGTCTTCATGAGGAAATCTGTGCCGAGCGATGAGTTTATTTTTGTGTTTTCATCTGATTTGTCGACTGATGCAACTTTTAATCTTCTTTAAACTGTAAAAATGTTGAATATTAAAGATATTTAAAAAGTTGAACCTCTTCCTATATGATTTCATTATATTACAGTTGCATTGTTTTACATATAAACATGAAATAAAATCAGCTTTTCAAACACAAAACTAAAAATGACCTGTAACATTTGTAGAGTCGGACCGATATGGATTTTTGGTGCAGACGTTGACACCAGTTAGTAATTTAAATATTTCTCATATACTGTATATAATTTAACAATAATTGAGGTTTGATATATATATATATATTTAATCATAAACTTTACTATAAATAACTCTAAATGAAAAGAAAACACAAATACAACCGAATATGAAGAAGATAAACTTAATTTATCATAAAATGAAATTCTTCCTATTGCCATACTGCACTATATATACATATTTTTACTATTTTATTCATTATTGTTTTGTTATTCATTGTATCGTGTGATCAGACATGAATTTCATATCGTGTCGGTCGTCTAAACGTCTGAATCTTCAATTTTAAATTCCTATGACGATGCGTCTCTGGTTTGCTTTCACAGGTGGAGTTCGACTTTGACGAGTGTTGAAGTTATAAATGTGAGTTTTTCTTCCATCAACAAAGAAGCCAACGGGAGCAGAACCACACAGAACAGCAGCTGCAGGCAAAACAAAACAACAATGGGCCGGTGCTCTTTTACCCTCCTCCTCTCTAAGTCTTTGAGAAGCGCCTCTGCTCTCGACTTTTCGAGGAGCAGACTCTGCTCAAGCCGACGAATATGGGCATGTTCCAATTTCGTCTGTGTCTACAGAGAGAGAGAGAGGGAGAGAGGGAGAGAGAGAGAAGACTCAAAGGGAAAGAGGACCCGTGAAGATCGGAGGGGCAATGATGGAGATCAACAACCGTCAGCAGAGGAAGAAGACGGCAGCACAGTGCGAGAACCAGGCTGATCACATGATGGGAAGATGTGAGGAGATTTCACTCAGGACCCACTGAGAGTTTGAGTTCAGACCCTCAAATGTATTTTAGAGTTGAGGAGACGAGAACTGTTTTAAAGATGTTTAACGTTTATATATTTTGTTTTCTTTCACTAAAACATTAATTATCTGCGGCAGCGAGGTTCTTTTTTTCAGACTCCCATGAGACTTGATTTGGGTCAGGGGAGAAAGAACCCGTTTCATCTCGGTGTCCCACCAACGACGTGTTCAACCCAAGAAAGAGCTCATTATTTTATTTAGCTTAATTTTTTCCCACTGAAGTCCGAGGGAATAATTAACGGAAAGACCTGCGGATGGGGACTGAGTTAATTGGAGATTCTACACTGACCGTGCGTGTGAGTGTGTGGGTGGGAATCGTTGTCCGGGGTACCCTCCACAGGATGAGCAGCATGACGGATGGAGACGCACATCCAGAGGTCGCGGATTCTAACATGTGTGGTGTGACGGGCCGCTGCACGGTAACAAACCACCGACGTTGCAGCTGGGAGTCAACAGTTCGTTTCAAAAGATTCACGAAGGATTTGCTGCAGGAGCTAAAGGCTTCGGCAGATATACGAGCTCAACGAGTAGTTTTCTTCTCTAACAATGTGATATACTGTGTAAACAAGAATTCCATGGAGTTGGAACATTGTGCTGGAATTCACAGGAGGCGGCTGCAGATGTAGTTTCCTGGAGATAATCCGTCTCCTCCTGTATTGCTCTGGTTTTTTGCAGCTGATAGTGAAAAAGGCTAAGAAATGTCACCGCGCTGCAGAATGTGGAATCACAAGCGTGTTTGTCGGTGCATCCGTCTGCCGGCTAAGTGCAGTGACCGCCAAATGCGTATTAAGAAGCGACCAAATTAGATTTACCTTCCATCCAAGCTTCCGTCTCTGGGGACGGACAGCAGCGAGGACACACGCTCTACTTTATCTAATGGATTCCAGACTTTCCTGCCCGGCTTAAAAATTGGATGTGAGTTCACTGAAGTCAGCAATTTATTTGTGGGTTTTTTTTTTTTTTTTTAAAGCCTCGCATTTTGTTTGAATTCTGTCCCAAAAACATGCGGAGACCGAGAACCGCCGCTCTCTTCTCATGATGTTTCTGTGCCGCTGCTGTGCGAGCTGTTACGCAGACGGCACAGCGCGCGCAGAGGCCGTCAATCAACTGCTCGGAGGGGTTCCAGTCCAGATCATCTTCCCAAACACATCATCATCTGTTCTGCATGTATAAACACATTATACATTTTTCTGTTTGGCTCCGTCTCCAGGGTTTGAATTATTCCGACGATGCCGTCTGTGTCACTACAGCACGAAAACTGAAACTACTGAGAAGACGCTGTGGATTAGTGAGATTGAAACACACGTGTTCGATCGTTGATAGATTATAGATTGGCATCACGCCGGTTAATACCTCCAGGTCTCCTTTGGTGATGGACTCCTCCTCCACTCTGAACTGCAGGTCCTCAACTTTCCTGTGAATATAAGAAGTTTGAGATGAGGATCAGTTGAATTTCGTTCTGTTGACCAATCCTCCATTTGTGTCTTCACCTGCTCTTTAAATTGATTTTTCTAAACTTTACTGTCTCGTGATCATATGTTTTGTCCCAGTAACAATGAAAGGTAAATGATACCGACGACAGGAGTTTTAATATCGTACAAGAGGATTCTTTTCTCTCATCTCAAACACGCACACGCTACAAGATGAGACGATGTTATTAGGATCATCACAGACGATCAAACTCCAAATCAGATTTCTTTTCAGATTCTCTGGGTTAAATCTGCCTCAAACTCCCGGAGCCTGAACCCAGTCTGGACTCAAACTCAAACACACAACAGGAAAACTATGTAATTTGAAATATTCCTTTTAGATTTAAGTGATTTTTACCTTTTCTCTTCTTCAAGCTGATTGGCCAGTTCCAGCTTATCTTTCTGTGCGCTGGCCAATAAGGCTTTGACCTGCTGGAGGCTGCTCTCATTCTCTGCTACATACTGTCGACGGCAGAAGAGAGAAAACGATCAAACATGAGAAACTTAACAACAGACATACTTAACAACCGTATGAATCACAGTATGAGATCCGCACCTGCACGTGTTGCGTCTTGAGGACGTTCAGCTCCTTCTCCACCTCACAGATGTGGCTCGTGGCCTTGGCCACCTCGGCTCGCTCCAGGTCTCTCTCGGCCAGCAGCTGCTCGATGTGCTGCTGCTTCTCCTTCAGAGCCTCCTGCAGCGCCGTGGTGCCGGAGATCTTCCGGGCGTAGCGAGACGACGTCTCCGTCAACTTAACGAGGAGAGAGCGAAGAGGTGTTAGGAAACCAGGGCGGAGGAGAGGAGGAATATTTAAAGGGTAAAAGAACGGAGAGACACTGAGGCACACAGGGTCAGTGAAAGATAAAAGTGAGTGAGGACACAAATAAGTCATATTATTATTTTTATTATTTCTCTATCATGGAGAGAATTTACTAACTCATTCATTTTACCCACTTATTTTAATTTTAAATAAAAGTATTTTATCTCATTAATAACAATATTATACCTGTATTTATGGATGAGGTATGTAAGTACTGTTGGATATATAATAATTATTATTATTACTATTATTCAGCTCAAAGTGCTTCACAAAATTAAATAAAGAAATAATTAAGTAAAGAAACGTCACAGCTGCAAGGTTTTCTTTGACCACTAGAGTGCGTTGTTTTAAAAGGATTCCTGTCTGATGCATCAGTCAAATATAAAAATAATCATTATTTGTTTGAGTGTAGATTTTCTGTTTCATGCATGATTTCTGATTTCGAGGACACATGAACAGAAACACATGAAGATCCCTGAAGTAAATCTTGATTTCATGTGTGTTTCACCAACGAGACCTGATTTTATTGATATTTCAGAATCTTAAATTTAAGTCACAAATGTCCGTCTGGGTTTAAACTGTTGTAAACAGAGATTCTTCTGTAAACCACTGTTTCTGTGCCTGAGCCTTGGCTCCTCAGATCGTTGTGACTGACACTGAGTTTTCTGCGTGAGCGGCCTGATAACTCACAGAGCGTCTGTCGGTGCGGCCTCACAGCGCTGCCAGCAATCAAGCAAAGTGAAGGGGAGTGTCCTCCGTCCGAGACCTGGCTCGCAAACTAGAAGCTACAATCGATGTGAGATATCTTGATGCGCCATTCGTCTCAGTTCGTTGCCGAGCATCGCCGAGGACGTTAATCTTGAAGACGTGGGGGGATTTCTCCTCCAGCGGCAGATTTCAGACGGTGAATCAGAGACGGAGGCAGAACAACGGATCCAGAGGAACAACGGACCTGCTCATCATTCACTCTGCAGCCGTATTCTTTTGATAAGTTGGAAATACAGAGTTAATAACTAATGGAAACTCTAACCGACATCTTTTGTGTTAAAAGGCACATAAACTGGGTTTTTCTTTTACTTTTTAATTAATTCAAATGTATTGTAAACACATATGTTCTCGTTAGAACTGCGTTTATAGGTTTCAGGTCCAATATTTGCAGTTCAAACCGCTTTACTTTCATTCTGTTTTAATCACGTCCACCAGGGAGGTCGTTATCTCATTTGTTTGTCAGCAGGATTAACTACAGAATGGATTTAATGAAACTCAGTAGAAGGTTTTGTTGTGAGTCAGGGAAAAGCCTAAATACATTTAGGTGTGAATCTGGATCAGGAGACGAATCCAGGAATTTAGTTTCACTTTCTCTGCAGAGTTTTCATTCATCTATAGAGATATGAGATCTACACAGATTCAGAATGACACAGGTACACAGAGCGTGAGAGAGAGAGAGAGAGAGAGAGAGGTCTGTGTCGCTCGCAGGAACAACCGCAGCTGAAACATGAGCTCTGACTGTCGGTGTGGACGGCAACACCTTCATTACTTTAACAGAGCGTTAAAGGGAAACGCCGCGGTGACGTGGCCGGATCGGGCTTCAGCTTTGACGGAGGTTTCCAGAAATCTAGTTTACTCACTCACTTACCTTCCGTCAGACAAACGCTCATTTACTTTTTCTGCAGAGATTCAGATAAGAACATCGAAATCACAGTCATGTCTGTGCGGTTACTTTGAACCAGCTGCTGTGTTAACATGAGAATTGTGGTTTTCCAGTAACTTATGTGCAGTGACCTCAGCCTGTGACCTCACGGTGACGACCGCGGCGTCATGATTAATGCACAGACGTGACAGTGGTGTCGACCTCCTCGTCAAGCTCTGCACAAAAGCATCGGTTGATTTCGCGGAGCACGTAGCAGCCGTCTTACCAGCCCAGCTCGGCTCGGTCGTCCGCCCACGGAGGAGGCCACCGAGCTGACTGAACTGATGGAGGAGCTGCTGGGGCTGTGGGCCAGAGACGAAACCCCCATGGCCATACGCTTGCTCTTCTTGGCCTTGGCCGGGCTGGTGGAGGGAAAACCGATGCGGATCACCTTGTGGATCGGAGCAAAGAGGCCGAACTTGGGAAGACACTGAAAGTATCTGGAGAGGAAAGAGAGTAAAGAGGGTGAGAGAGTCAGACTTGAACACTGAACGGATTAATGAGAATATTAGCATCGGAGAAAATATAGTGTTGAAAAGTTATTTATACTAAAAGTGTTTCTGTAAATGTGCGACCATTTTACCGTTGAGTAGATGTCATGAATTAGCTTCTCGCTTCTCGTTTAATTCCACAATTCTTCTTTGTGAGGCAAGAAACTTTGGAGCAATTAGACTAAGTCTTTGTTGAGCTGTAATATAACACAAGGCTGCATCTGGGTCTGGAATTCTACATGAAAAACGTCAGTGGCTTTTTATTTCCATCTTTGGCTGTAAATTTCAAGCAGCATTCCCAAATGTCTGTAAAACCAACAATACTTCTCCCGTTTCAAACAGACTTCCGCGTCTGCTGCGGGAGGAAATGTTGTCAGACGGTGAAAAATGTGTGTGAATCCTGGAGGGTGAATTATCGCAAATCATAAATAAATGTGATAAACATCACGAAGCAACAAGCGCGCCCAGTGTTGCAGACCCACTGTGACCTGGAGGGTTCGTCAGTGGGATTTCATGGACGATCGGATGAAGAGAAGGAGACTTAAAGTCCTTTTAGGGGCAAAACCAAAGGAATTTGGGGGGTTTGAAGTGTGTGTGTGTGTGTGTGTGTTTACCTTGTACCAGCTACTGCACCATCATTCTTTCCCAGGGGCTCGTCTAGCTCCACCCCGCACCACTCCCCCTTGGCGAAGTCCGTCTCCCCCATGTATCGTATGACCCCCATCTTTGAGCCTCCGACCTGACGACGGAGAGAGAAAACACTCGGCTGTCAAACTTTTCAAAGATGAAAAGAAAACAATTGAATGAAATCCCGTTAAGCTGCTGACGAAGAATATCTTCAACATATTTTTACCTTCCTGAGGAACATTCTCACTTTGCGTCTGGTAAAATACTTTACTTCTGAAAATAGTTTGTTTTACACACCACATTTCCCATAATCCTCTTTGCTTCTGTAACCAAGACGATGCTGCAGATTTTCACTATTTCTCCAAATGTCTCTGTTACGTAGATTTCCACAAAAGACATTTATTATCATTCACAGGTAAACGGGCTGGTGTGCACGCGTGTGAAGATATGACACGTGTGTTCTCGCTGATTGTCAACGTGAAGTGTGTGTGTGCGGAGGATCCAGATGTGCCCGAGGGTAGAAACTCGTCTTGAGTCTCGGCCATGTGACCAACAGTGCGTCGGGCTGTGAAGTGTCCCCTCATGATGTTTGGTGCTGTGAGCCTCGACCTCCTGGTGGAGGCGTCGCTCAGGGTGAGAGGAGGTGCTCGTTTAAAACTGAAGAGCAGAGTTTCAAAAAGAATGTGAATCATCAGCTCCCTCATATATTTAAGGTGCCACATCTGCCCAGTCAGGCTCAGTCAGACGGTTTCCTGTTAGTAAGTCTAAAATACACACACACACACACACAAAGCTGACTAATCCATGTGCTGAATGTCTTCCACACATGGTGACCACATGTATGAGACGTGTGCAAACATCTCACTGCTCAGTTTTTCCTGAAACCTTCACCGTCACCGAAATAAAACACTGACACATGAGATAATGTATTGATTCACTTCGATTGATTCAATTTACTGCTGGTTACTTTTATCTGCCTGCAGCTCTATGAGTAATAGATTACATTTAAGTCTTAATAGATTACTGTGATCCCATTCCCACGGTCAGACGTTGAATGAATGTACAGAAGGAGCAACAGATGTTTTCCCACAACATCTTACTACAGATAAGAATTTAATACCAATAATTTATTTAATCCGTTAAGAACCATTTAAAATAAAAGTTCCCTTCCAGCTGCTATTTATAAACACACAGAGGCCAAAGAGGAAAGTGTTGAGTCACTGGACGTTAACATGCGACGGTTTTCTGTCGGCACGACTGTGAGATGTCTCGGTGACTCAGTGTCAAACTACCAGCCGTGCTGAGAGAGTCAGGTCAACACCAGCATCCATCTTGGCTCCTGTTGTTTCCAATCCAATCTAAAAGCTGCAATAAAATGATTCTACGAGGGATAAATCCTGGAGCAGGATCCTCTGGGTTCAAAAAGACACTGTGGTGAATATAAACTGCTCGTGACGTGTGACTGGTGAATCTGGTAAAGATGAAGATGACATCTCTACTTCTATTGTTTGGGAAAAGTGACGACATCGTTTCCTGGCTTCCGTTTTTTTGCGGAGCTGTCATGTCGTCCATCTTTTTGCACAGTCAGTGGGAGGTGGAATGAGGTAATAAATTATTCTGCGACATGATACAAGTCTTTGTTATTCCGTCTTCACACAACTGATTCTAATACGACTGTGTTGTGCCTGATGGGAACATTTCACTGACTCACGGCCGTTTCAGTGGCTTTCAAAGTCTCCAAATAAACACCAGACCTATCACATGCAACCCCGCTGAAAGAAAACGCTTCATTTAACCTCTAACAAACTCTGCGGACGGCCTCTGGACATTTTTCTGTTGTTCTCTTTTCTAATTTCTCTCCAGAAACGTCAAATGTTGACCTCGGCATCAAGATAAACTCCTCTGCCCTGGATTTCTTTGGTGCGGGGACATAAAAATGTGATGTGAAGCTGCTTATTCTCTTTGTGCATATTTCACTAATTTTTCAGGCAGCGTTGTGTTTCCAGCAGAAGAGGAGGATCCGAGCCACCGCAGCGAGATAGATTACACGGGAGAGGCTTTGGAAAGAGATGGATTCAGTGATCAATGTGTCAGCAGCGGTCTCCCTTCTCTTAAGTGCTGAAAGTAATCCAGAGTGATTTACTATATTGACCAGCAGGAAGGCTCCTCCAGCTCCCTCCCCCTTTTCCAACTGCACAGGATCTGATGTAACTATCCCCCGTGCCCGGCAGTAAACGGAGAGCAACGTGACCCGGGGGCCAGTAATACACCGCGGTTAACACGTCACACACTAATGGGAGAATAAGCAAAAACAAGTGGATATGAGTGTTATTCCTCCAGACGTGTCCGTGGGCTTCAAACCTGCTTCATGTTTCGCTGCATCAATTCATCTCGACTGAAACATGCATGAAATTGTAATTAGACATCAGACTCTGAAACACCAACTGTATGGAATTACTAAAGAATGACTCGATAAATAAACTTTAATATAAAATAAAGTTTATATTTCAGTTTTTATCTACCTTTGTGTTACATCTATCTAGTTCCAGAAACCTCTGTCTGTCTGTGATTCGCATATATTGAAAACAGTTCATTTCACGAGCTTCGCACTCGGCATGTTCATCGCTGAGGGCCCGAGGGAGTGCAGTGTTGAATTTGGTGCGTTTTGAATAAACTGAGGAAGAGTTCAACGAGTGAACAGCTACACTTAAAGTTTCTGAGGGGTCAAGGTTACAGTGATGGAACAAATAATTAAAAAGTCTTAACGTCACTCACCAAAACTCGATCTCCAACTCGAAGATCCTTGTCTCCACCTTTCTTTACTGAGCCGCTGTCGGACATGTTGGACCCCGACTCGTTGCCCGTTTTCACGGCGCTGTTGAGCAGGCCCTCTCTGAGGGGCACTACCACCCGCTGGCCAGCGGGGGCTCCACCGCCACCCTGCTGAGTCTGATTCTGGGCAGAGAGTGAGTCAGTGGAGTGGCTGTCGCTCCCCTCTCCGACCGGCTGTCGTGTGAGCTTGGAGGGTCGCGTGAAGATGCCCTGGAGGGGCTGGCACTCGAAGTAGCGCACGCCACCCACTGAACCATCGTTTTTGCCAACTAGGTCATTCAGTATTACGCCTGCCCACTGTCCCGGGGCAAACTGGGTCTCCCCGAGGTAAGCAATAACTCCTAGTTTGACACCGTTGACCCAGACCTGCTCGCCCACCGTGTAGTCGCCCAAAACATCGTCGCCCTCCTCAGAGATCCTAGTCGGTGTGGTCGGCTTCAGGGGAGGGTCTGAGGAAGAAGAGAAACATAATGTGTTTGTTTCAGGGAAAATTAAATGTTCACATAAGAAAAACCAACGTAGGAAAAATGTAAGTGCAGGGAAATGAACCAGTTTTTCCTCTAATCATCACTTTCTCTCAGATAAAAATGTTCCTCTCTGGAGCTTCAGGTCGGAAACACTGCGCACATTGTGAGAAGAACATCCTCATTCACAGTCCGGCAGAACCGCCCTCACACCGTTCATCCTGTTTGACCGTGTTTAAAAAACCATGCTTGTGCGGCAGCATCCGACACAACAGTGCAGTTTGTGCACGATTAGGCATCGTTACTCTAATTCCTCCAGAAAAGTGGGTCAGAGAGAGACGGTGTCTGTTCTGTGCCGGTGATTAACCCCACCATGCCGCCCTGCGATATCGCCCGTTTGACACACAGATGAGCTGGAGCTCTGTGTTTTTCCACAGCAGCCTGTAAACTGAGCAGGGCACCATTAGCACGCGGTCTGCCGCACCACACTGCCTGTAAAAGTCTGCTGCGTTTATCTGTGTGTGTGTGTGTGTGTGTGTGTCTGCGCAGGGATGGATGGTGCCAGGGCTGTCTCTCCGACACCCTGAGAGGGGGCCGGAGGCTTCGTGGGCCCCTCTACTCGTGCTTTATGCCCCAATTGCTCCCATATGTTGTTGACGTGAGTCACATTCTGCAGA